AACTAATAATCTCTACTTTTTACAAATTACAATATACGCCATTTATGTTAAGAGAACCGAAATAATTAACTTATAGATATCCATAATAATATAGAAATTCCGTGTTAGAAAAATATAATTTTTCTCTTGATAATAAGATGTCAAATTGTGGCTTACAGATTTCATTGTTGTTCGCCTTCGCTTTCGCCGTTGATGTGTCGGAGAAAAAACATGACAAACGTGCTTCTGTACACGGAGGATCATCGATATATGGTCATGGCAACTACAACCCCCACGGTGACATTGGGTTCCATGGATCCGGATATGGGCATGGATACGGGCATGGACATGGATATGGATATGGACACGGATATGGACATGGATATGGACACGGATATGGACACGGATACGGAGGGATTGGACCTGAAGTCAATTTTATAGGGGGACCGCATGGTCACAGAGTGCCAAGTTTCGGCATCGGAGTAGAACACGGATTCTTAGACCATGTGCCCAGAACCATCGTGAATCGCGTGGTTCCAGTTGCAGTTCCCGTACCTCAACCGGTTCCCATAACACGCTCAGTCCCCGTACCGGTGCCGCATCCCATACCCATCGAAGTGAAGCGTCCCGTCACCGTCCCGATACCTCAACCGGTTCCATTCGTCGTCACCAAAGCATATCCCGTTAACGTACCCCGCCCGGTTCCAGTGCCAGTACCTCAAGCCGTACCTGTACCACACCCGGTGCCGCACCCGGTCCCAGTTCCGCATCCGGTACCAATTCACACACCAGCCTCAATATCAATCTCGCAATCCATACCGGTTAATTCTGATCCATATCCGCTGCCCGCTAGACCAATCTCTGTTACGCAACCTATCGTATCAACCGGTCCTCAATCCGGGTCCTCAATACGACCAATCGCTCCCATTGGGATTGGATCTGTCGATGCGGCAGGAACCGGCACAATATTGCAAAATGGAGACCATTCTGGATTTGCCATTTCTAGCGTCGTACACGGTGGTAATAACTTCGGTTCCCCCATAAGCTCGGGATTTCACGTGAGCGTGGACCCCGGCAGCGAGGGATACTCTTATCCGGTACCAGCGAAGAAATTCTTTTAAGCAAAACACTCGAAAGAATCTGTTACAGGCGACATCTCCGATTTGCACGCCGATGCGATACATCTGCCGTTTTCAAGACCTCGGATATACGGCACGCGGCTTGCCCGAGTCACGCCATACCCATTTATCCCGCGTTTCACTTGATATTTATGGATTCGCATACTGCGGAAGGTCCGCGTTAGTCGTGCCTTCGATTAAAATGCCGCCTAAAACCGCAAAACGAAGTACATAAATATATTGGCATTTACTTTCACTTTTGCATTGTTTTCGACAGTGACAAGGAAAAGAGAAAGTGTTACATTTTGGGAACGCGAAAGTAATATTATGCAGAATCCAAGGAGATGAATAATCATGCGAGCGCGCGATAGAAGTAAGAAATATGACGACCTATATCGATATTTCCTGTTACCGAAATATCACGTAGGCAGAAGAAAATTGCTAACAATTCTTTCGAGATGTATCCTTTGCACGTTTACAATTGGATCGTATTCATGATATACAATCAATCATTTGTAACTATTTATTTATCTCTTTTATATCTATGAAGATATAAAAAATATCTCCATCGTGTGCCATAGACATTCAGATAGTTATGAATAAATTCAAGTAATTAAGTATAACTATAAATTGTTTTATATGTATAAGAAAGAATATATCTTGATTTGTTAATTTATAACCAGCTTTGATTGTTTCCTCTACGCATCCTTGATACCCTTATATTTGGAATTCTCTCGTAAAGCAGTTACTACACACGATATGATCCTGCGGGTTCGTCGAGATACGCGAGTAGATTTACCCCGATTCAAAAGTGATTAAAGTTGCTACCTCCTTACCCGCATCGCATCCTAAATTGCCGAAACTTTGACCTTGTGCTTTAGCACACTCGACAACCACATAACCATTTCGTACAGCCTCCGGCTGTTATGCCGGCTCTGCAGGTATTCAAGTGCCTGAGTCGCCATTTCCAACTTATTTTGCACGTATTTATACAAGAAAAACATGTTCATAATTACAAAAAGAATACACAACAGTATTAGTGATAACTGACATGTTATATATTTAATAAGCAACGTCGAATTTGTTGTTTTTTTCGTATCTTATTTTTTTCTTTATCAATATCCAGCACTATATAATTTAAAATTTTTTATTTGGATTCCCATAAATTCACTTGCATACATTCAAAAGGTATATTAACATCCTATCGATAAGCTTTTCGTATATTTTATTATTTGGTAAATACTCTCCTTCATCTCGCATAGAAAAACTTGAATGTTTCGTACACTTTTTCAATTGTCTTCCGTTATTTTCGTAATGGATATCTGTGGTCGTAGAAGACGAACGTTACATATAGCAAAATCCTACTCTCCGAATTCAAGGTAAGCTACTGGTCTTTATGTATATAGAGCTCAAAATCCCCTTAAGACATCGTGGGGCTTAACAATAAGGCGATAACTTTAATATGGAAACATAAATAATTTTTAAGTTTGAACGAGATTAAAAGATATTTTGTTAAATTAAAATTATAAATTAGAAAATAATAAAATCTTGCTCTTTTAATAGAAATATATTTTTGATATGTCCAAATATGAATTCAATTTATTAAAATATTTAATAAAATGAATATATTTTTAGAGAAAAAAATCATGATCTATTACATTTTATTTAAATTTAAATAAATCAAAGAAAAATAATATAGCTAAGATATGTGATTCTCTCTTTGAGGTATCCTGTACAGGAAGATATGTACAGCCTTAGAAAGCTCCGCAACACATTCATTTGCAGTTACGCACGTATGTGGTTCCTTCCCTTTTCCCGCTGGAAAACCGACAGTCGCGCATTATTTTACGACTTTCGCTAGGCCGTTGAATTAACCTGAGCTTTTCCGGCTTTAAGGATGGTTCTTTATGTACCTTGTCCAGAAATGAAGTGCATTCCTCTTATCTACGGCTAGGGTTACAATGTCGTTAAATTGCCATCACTGATATCTTTGTGAAATCTCTCTCTTACGGTTTTCCAGTAACTCACAATCAGTACGGAAAGATCTTACGTAACAATATTACAAATTTGCATGCAAAGTACAAAGTCTACATATAGATGTTAAAATCTGATATGTTAATAGTGTTTTAATCCTTTTTATTGTTAAATAATTTGGATATAAGTGACACGCGTAGAAATAAAGTTTTTCGTCTGATAATAACGCAACAAATGTTTTCTATTTTATAATTTCTTTGTGTTCCTTAATGGAAGTTATTTTGTTCAAACATTGCACAAAAACTTATACAGAGTTATTTTAGAAGAACAATTAATGTTCTAATTTACACAAAGTTTATTGATTGTCACAAATTTATTATTACCATGCGTGCATATTTAATCATTAATGTAATTAAAAGATATAAGAATAAATCGCATAAAATAAATGGATACCTACTCGCGTGTAATTATAACAGTTGCAATATTATTTAATTACTAAAAACGGCACAGTCTTCGTAAATTCGAAATGCGCGCAAGGCACAGCAGGAACGGAGCTAATTGTAAGCATTTATCTAATGTGAAGGATTTACAGACGATGTAAATTTATTCGCGAGACCCTCGCTTAATTACGCAGATTCCAAGGCATCTTTCGCAGCACCCCCTCATGCTACGTAAGGCGCGCACCGGGAAAAACAGAAATTAATCTCGTATTACGGGCAGCCGAGATATTTACAGTAAGTATAAACGTTCTCGCAGAAACGGTTCTGCTGTCATTATCATTTACGGCTTGCCCTTTATGATCTATCATTAAATGTAGAACATTTAATTCTTTTCATAGGTTACACTTCTATAGATACTTATTCACTCAAGAGAGCTTTACAAAGTTTTGTATGCTAATCGGTTATCTTATTACTACATTATCTTTGAATTTTTTGAAAATTTCTGGCCGAATTTGACTACTGCATTATTATCTCTTGTTACTGAAAAAAAAATCCTAATATTCAAGGGTCTAAAGGGTCAGCTTGGAGAGAGTAAGTCGTAAGCCGCACACAGAAAGAGCAATTTTGCTTAAGCAAAATATAGCTAGATGCAAATCTGAAAATAATTTGGTTGTATCATTAAAAGAATTAAACGTAGCAATTTCAACGATGATGCTGCAAAAAATTTTGACACCCTAGCAATTATAATTATTTTGATGATTTAACAAAATTATTTTCAGATCTGTATCTGGCAACATTTTTAGATACTATAGCAAAAGCGTCCTTTCTGTGTAAGAAATTAATCAATCATAGTCAATTCTCGATCTTCACATTTAACTGTGAATGGTTGATTTCTAGTAGCTTACAATTTCTATTGCAGACAAATTAAATTTTAATCAAAGTCTCACTACTCCATCAATCTAAATATTAAATTCTGTGGTTGTATCAAACTCTCATCTGAATATCGAACGCATTAAGACAAAGAATTAGAAAATAAAGTTCTACTTTCGCGTTGTTTACAAGCACAGCCTTGAACTAACGATAACCGAAATTATTCGTAGAAAAGCGACGAGAGATCGCCGGGACTACCGGACTCGCGGGCGCCACGCGACGTCCTCTTTTTTGGATGAAAAATATCGGCGGAACGATAAATTGCGCACCGTTCAGGTTTCGGAGCGCGAGTCGCGTAATGTAGCAGAACGGAGCCGAAAAATTGTTACTGCGGTGCAGCAACCGGTGCAATCTCAGGCCAACAAGTCGCGCACCGTAATGTGTTAATGACACGGAATGAAAATGACTCGTCTAGCGGCGATGAATCATCCCGAAATACGAGGAGCCTCACCTATTTAATTAGAATATCGCAATCTACCCGGACGTGTCGCGTAGCGGACCGGTAGAGCGTCGCGTAAAAAAGAAAAGAGAGAAAAGAAGTTTGCGTCAAAATTTCTTTCCTTGAATTTTATATCGGTAGTTAACGCGGCTGATATATGTGTATAACGCTTATAAAGTCATGCATTCTGCTGTTTTTTTTTTTTTTTCCTAAAAACGACTGTCTGCCTTAAGCTTACCCGGCTCGTTCGAAGTTTTATGTCAGGGCGCGAACCCGCTATTTATGATCGCCATTTCACAGCATTGGATGCAGCGTTTTTTTTCTCTCTGGATTCACAGTCAAACGAATCAGCAGTTAACGTCAATATTTTGAGCATCTTAGCCCCAGCTGACTTTTTATCGTCGATCTCAGACACCGATGATAGCCGCGCGCAGCTGCAACGATCGCGCGAAGCCGCAGTTCTGGTTGCAGCATTGTAGGCTACGCGACGTTCGGCCATCGATACGACGAAGCGAGCGGGAAGTGCCATTTTATTGGTTGTTTTGAAACAGTAAAACACACCGTAAACACGCCGTTGCTAGACTCGTAAACAATGAAACAGCGTACGTATAAAAGTTACAGGATTAAATGCCAGTAGAATTATCGATTAGAATTTATAAAGATCGTTATACAGTCGTAGAATATTGTGTTGCTAGCAATATAATACACTGCTTTTGTAAAAAAAAAACAACGACCAAGTCAAGAATTAATCGTAAAAATATACGCTTTTTCTTTTTGCACTTTTAACGACAGGTTATGTAATTAATATTTTGATCTCTATTAGGTAATTGTCATTTTTTTAATTCGAGAATTTAATAATGATGATCTCTTACGGATACATCAGCAAATTGCAAATTTTTGCAGAGGTCATGTCTTGTCGACGAACCGATTAAAGATAAACCGAGTACCTAACCAGAATCCTGCAGGACCCTACGTTTATCTCGTTCTGTATGCGGTAACCGTCCTGGGAGGGCATGCTTTATCATATTCAGCAGACAATCGTCGGAATGCTAATCTGCCTTACTCCCTTATTTGTAAAATTAACGATCTGTTAATAACGCTAATGTAATGATTTGATTTATATGTTACTTGGATATGAATTTATTCGTACAAATTATAAAAGTTAGCATTTAACAAATATTGAAGTATACTTGTATAAAATATGATTTTACTGCAATCTCTATCTATTTCTTTCTTTCTTTAACATATACTGGCTATCACAATGTATTAATTTTCTTCAAAAATATTCTCATGTGATTATATCATCTAACAAGTTATTAAAATATCTTCACAGAAAGAATCGTTTTGCTGGAATATATTGAAAAAATTAGCTAGATGCAGATCTGTGAAAATAATTTCGTTGGATTTTCAAGATAAATAGGTAGAACGATTATGTGTTGAAAACAATACTGTAAAAAGTTTTAACAACCAGTTTTAGCGTTCTACATAATTATTTTAATGTTCCAAACAAAATTATTTTCAGATCTATTCTATCTAAATATTTGGATATTTCAAACCGGTCTTTTCGTGCACGTATGATAATGTAGCCGAATCCATACACACACATACATATATATGTGCAAATTTCGCAAAATTTCGTTGATGTGAAATATTTTAATGGAGTTCATCGTACCATTTGACATCAATAACGAACTCAAAGAGACTTTGATAATATGATTTATCCTGTATAATATCAGGAATATCCGGCTACCGTTGGAATTTCGCACGTTTACAAATATTTGGAACATTACATCTGAAACAG